TATGTACGCGGCAAAATCAGAGGACTTAATTTCTCGCTATCAAGTCATTTCGGAAGAATGCCTCGAGACCCCGAAGACGGGGAGCCATGACCGAGTCCCTTCCCTCAGGGCTCGTCGAGGCCCCACTCAGAGAAGACGAGAATCGAAGCCAGAACAGAGGGGGAATCTCCCAAGGCACACGGCTAAGTCTGATAGGGCCGGCCTATCTAGAGCTTATGCTGAGGCATCACGTCAAGCCGTCCCATCTCCATACTTTATAATTAATGCCCATGTACTAGTAGCCGAGTTCCCCTCCTATATAAAGGGAACTCGCACTACCTTGTAAAGGTCTGATGTTGCTCCAACTATTTCTCCACAAAATCAATAATATCTCTCTCTCTCTCTCTCTTCTTTCTAACTTGCTTGTTCTCACTGGCCCGAGGCCACTTTAATATTTATCGCTTTCTTACTTGTTCTTCGTTCTATCGCTTGGTATTGGCCATATAGAGCTTTGTTTGATCATAATCTAATTGTTATCCCATTCCCGACTTTCCCCGATAGCTCGAGCTCAACCCAGACGTCGACCCCGAGGCCCCTCATCGACCAATCCGACACCCGGGCAGCAGGTTTCTCGGTTCGTTCAGCTCCCCGTTTTAGACTATATCCCCTCGGTAAAACACGCCCGAACAGTAAGCCTTTAGGTTTGGTTATCGCCCCTTTCTTAGCTTGAATTTCGTCATTAAACTTCATATTCTTAGCATCAACTGCTCTATACAACTAGATCGAGAATAGATCACGTATTTTTAGAATATTGTTGTTATCATTTTCATGGTAAACACTCCACTAAGAATTTCCATTCAACTTTAGTGACATCTTCTAGTATGTTCTACAATCATTCCTCCTTTGTAGCAAATTTCTTGAAATGATCATGGAGCCTACTACGACGATATCGATACAAATTATTAGATGTATGAAGGATAGTATCCCTAGTGTGTTGCGTGTCTGGAATTTCAAAGGCGTCCTGCACTCAAATCAAAAAATTAAAAGTGATAGCTTTGTCACCAAAAACTCTACTCGCAACCAAATAGATTTGTATGTGAAATCTGTAATAAAGGATTTCAAAGCTGAAACCATTAAATTAATAAATATGCCTACTGTTCTTTATACAGACTACTACTATAATGGGCAAACTGTTACTAAATATGCCTGCCATAAACATTTCTTGGTACTGGCCTCGTGGAACAGCCATTGCATTGGATAGATTCCTTATAAAAGTGCCTTATACAACATATGCTACACTTTAACTTTGGTCTTAAAATATTTTGATGATTCTTTTGGTGGCTACAGACATCAGTTGAACGCTCTTTATCATTGCATAAACATAGTTCCCAAGTCCATGTTTAGAATCCAGTAGTTTCAAAATGAAATGATATTTCTACCGCAAAATAGAAACAAGCGGCACAGTTTTGATAAAAATTGGCAATGTTTAAGAGTTCTGAAATCAAACTTGTCTTACCTATTATTTCTGTAGCTTTTGGATTTCATCTCAATCCTTATCACGAAATATATATGTCAGTATCGCACAGAATGAGGCAAGCTAGTAGCGTTGCTTTTGCAGCAACTGCTTTAAGATTAGGTGGAATATATACGGAGACACCTAAAGTTGGCACCATTTTTCACTTAGACACTTAAACTAGGCCTCTTTCCGTTTGAACTCATTTCTTAGGCATTTATTATACCAATTAGACACGTGTTGTGCAGGCTTATTAATTCACCAAGCGTGTGTTCTGCAATCTCCGTCTACGTGGAACAAATAACCATTATAAATCGTGTCACATCATTTAATTGTCCACCTCACAGTCCACCTCACCGTCTGTCACGCCTCCTTTTTACACTCGAGGGTATATGAGAATTTTTCCAATTAAAGTGACATTATCGAAATGGGATTAATTAATTTATCAGAGTCGCCACATGGAATAGTTTATTTGGTGTTCCAAGACACCGGTTTATTTTAAAATCCCAAATCGAGGAAATTTCGACTTTACTTTATAAGTTTGCGAACCAGAAATTCTAGATAGGGAATTCTGTTAACCCAGGAGAAGGTGTTAGACATTCCCGGGTTCCGTGGTTCTAGCACGATCTCTTAAACTATTAATAATTGGCCTATTATCTGATTTGTTACATGTTTTAAACTTATTGTGCATTTTTAACTTTATAACCACTTTTAATTATTTATTGTTACATATTGCGAATCATGTCACAGGAACCGTACCCACGATCTACAACATGTTTAAATTATTAAAAATTAAACTGTGGCCGGGTCACATAAATGTACCCTCGAATTTTAGTAATTAAGCATCACAACTATGTCACGGGAACCGTACCCGTAGCTATGACAATTATTTAATTAACACGCCTAAAGCAAACTACGAAGGTTCAAGGTCTTTTCTATACTAATTTTGTATTTATGTGACGGCCATAGATTATAGGATTTTATTTGCGTACTGCACACCTCAAATTATTTTCTAAAAGGATTAGCTCTTGATCTAATTTTGTGAGGGCCATGTATTATAAGTTTTGTTTGGGCAGGGCACACCTCAAATTATTTTCTAAAAGGATTAGCTCTTGATCTAATTTTGTGAGGGCCATGTATTATAAGTTTTGTTTGGGCAGGGCACACCTCAAATTATTTTAAGAAAAGATTTATATATATGTTTTTAAAGGGCGAACTAAAGGTGCTCCTATTTTTATCTAATTTAAAACTAGGTATTACAGCCACGTCACGAGAGTCGTACCCGTAGTTGTAATAATTTAAACTCGTACCTAAAGCAAGCTACGGAATATTCATTAATTGCTATTCTATATTCGTGATTGTTGCAAGGTCATTAATTAACTTTCTAAATATTCAATAAATGCTCTTATATACAAATGCGAGGTAAACTGTGCCATTTGGAGTGGGGAAACTTATATGCGTGTAACTTTGATTCATAGAGGAAATTATAAGATTGCTTGATATTTTGTAAGGAACAAATCACCTTCTTCTCGTGCTAGCCAAAGAACAAACACAAACTATCTTAAAACTATAGGCATGTTTATCTGGGTCCAAAATTGAAATCAAACAACCCAGCTAAAAGGGCTTTCCTGCATCGCTGTAACAAAGCCCATTGCAGTTGCTGAGGGCCGAGTCCAAAATTCCATAGACTCTGAAAGAATACTCTAATAACTGAGCAACGACTAGCAATTGTTCAAAAAGGAAAATTCTTACAAAATTATTAAACCTTAATTTCAAATCCCATTAATCACGGTTTAGAACAAAAATCAGTTGCCATTTTAATTTTTACAACAATCAAGTGCTCTCAAAAGCAATTTATTAATGAAGCTAACCGATATTAGGCTATATAGATGATATTTACACCTTAATATTACCATACTTTATTATTGTTTTATAGGCAAAATGATAACAAAATGCTCTAAATGGCGTTCTTTTGCTTCGCAGGGAATAATCTAAGTGCGGAAGCACTACGGAGTATTTTGGAGTCAATAATATGAAAAAAAACGCCCAATCAAGAAGTACCCGAGCATAAAGAAGCAAAAACGGACTGAGTGAAATCCACCGCGACCGCGGTGGAACCGCGATTGAACCGCGGCAGATCATCTATGCCTGGCAGAATGTTCAGCGTTCACCGCGGTCGAGCCGCGGTATTGCCGCGACCGCGTGAACTGTTCAAGTGCCAGAAAATTGGGGACCAAAGTGTAATTCGGGAAAAACTTGTTCCAAACCCTTATAAACTTTAGCAGCTCGCCCAAGACAAAAAAAAAAGCTTATTTTTAGACTACTTTGGAGGTAAGAACAAGTGTGCGAAGATCAACCAAACATTAAAGTTTTTCTATCTCCTTTTAATTCTTGCAATTATTCATTATGAACAACTTTGTAGTTTTATTCTATTTTGTTATGAGTAGCTAAACAATTATCTAGGTTTGATGAAACTAATTGTTGGTTGAAGTTTTGACTCAACTTGTTATAATAGAGCCGGATTTATTATATGATTGTTCAACTACGTTTTGTATGGTGATTAATTGAATGGGCCCTTGATTAATAGTGTCTAATTACCTCATATTGCTTGAGAAAGAATATTAGGTTAGACAGCTGTTGAACAACACCACATTTGGGTAATTGAAGAGATTCATTACTTGAACTTAAAAGTGGGTTTAGAGATAACGAAGTTTTGGTGGGATAATTTAGAACTGTACATATTGTCAGCTAGAGTAGTTCGAGAGAATGCTCTAATAAATTATTGTAGTTGATCGAGAGATAATTATAATAGCCCATAGCTCTTAATCCTCATAGAGTACTACGGCGAGATTATAGCGAAAGAGTCAAGACCTAAACCAGCAATTGCGGAAATCACTGCCCTAGACCTTTTTACCATTGAATTATCTTTAATCTAGCTTATTATTATTTTCAATATTATTTGAAGTGGTTAAACAAAACCCAAAATTGATTGATAAAAATCTTGCATCTAGAAATTGGTTGAGTTGATAATAACATTGCCAAAGAGTTGTAATAGATAGGTTCGACTCCGGAATTAAAACCGGATTATATTTACAACAACCGCTTTGTCTTTTAGAAGGCATAGTTGGGCGTGATCAAATTTTGGCACTGTTGCCGGGGAACTAATGGTGTTGTTTATTATAACTTAGAAGTAGTTTTAGAATTATTAATTTAAATCAATTTTCGAAGGTGTTAAACAATCTTTTCATTGAAATTCTCGTGTTTGAACTCTTGTGGAATATAGGTGTAGGCCTAGAAATTCTTCGAGGATTGGAGAACTACTAGAAGGACTCTCAGACCCCGAGAAAACATTCAGGGCATTGAACCGTGACAATAAGAGGATCCAACAATCACAACAACCACACCAGAGTTGGCAGTGGTGCCATACCAGAGACAGCAAGGTTATCCACAGCAGAACCACCAGCAACAGTTGACATATCAGGCACCTCCTTAGCAGCAAGATAACAATATGGTAGAGATCAGGGGTATGCTTCAACAACTCATTGGGACAAATGGTAAGATGCAGGAAAAGTTGGCAGTGCATGATTCAGCTATAAAGAACATTGAAACTCAGTTGGGGAAGCTGTCTATTGCTTTAAACAACCACCCCCAGGGAACATTGCCAGCAGACAAAAACATTAACCCTAAGGAACAAAACCCAAATAAGCTGATGGCAGTGAGTCTCCGGAATGGGAGAGATTTAGACAAAGAGCAGGAAGTTGCACAAGCCAGCAAAGAGACTACGCCAGCCACTCCAGTTCCACTAGAGGTAGATGAACCAGAAGAACTTACTGAAGTAGTGGTTGAACAGGGTCAGTATGAAAAGGGTAAGGGTAAGGCTAAGGTGAGTGAACAAGCTGCAGAATAGGGGGCACCTCTTGTGCCACAGAACCCCAATAGAGAGAAACCAGCAAGCAGTGCACAAAGGGTCATACCTGGGCCATTCCCTCAGAGACTGGTAAAACAAAAGAAGGACGATCAATACAGGAAATTAATGGAGATGCTGCATAAAATTCAGTTGAATATTCCTTTGATGGATGCCTTGAGGGAGATGCCAGGCTATGCGAAGATGATGAAGGACCTAATGTCACGGAAGTTTGATTTTCAGGACCTATCCACAGTGACTCTAACGCAGACCTGTAGCGCAGTAGTGACAAGACCTATGGCTCAAAAGATGTCTGACCCAGGTAGCTCTATTATCCCATGCACTACTGGGAATTATGCCTTGGCAAAGGCATTATATGACTTAGGAGCCAGCATAAATTTGATGCCTCTGGCTATATACACCAAACTGGGCATTAGCAAAGCTAGACCGACTTCGATGTTGTTGCAACTAGCTGACCGCATGGTTAAAAGTCCAACTGGGATTCTTGATGATGCTTTGGTACAAGTGGGGAAGTTTTTGTTCCCTGCAGACTTTGTTATTCTGGATTGTCAGGTATATGAGGATATACCTATCATTTTTAGGAGGACATTCTTAGCCACTAGGAGAGCACTATTTGATTATGAGACTAGGGAATTAAAAATGAGGCTAAACGATGATGAAATCATATTCAACGTTTAGCAATCGATGAGGAGACCCAGTGAATATCCTAATTGCTCCCTAGTGGAAGCAGTGGATGTGATCCTACACGAAGATGATGTGACCCTGACTATTAAAGATCCATTGGAGGCATGCCTGACAAATTTAGAGGAGATGGATGGTAAAGGGTTAGCTGAGTGGGTCATGGAACTTGAAGGCCAAGGATTCTGGAAAAGGGAATCTTAGTTTGAGTCCCTTGAGTTAGAAAAAAGGGCTACACCTCCAACAAAGCCATCAGTAGAGGAACCACCCAAACTAGAGCTGAAACCGCTCCCAGCTCACCTCAGGTACATTTTCTTAGGCCCTGATTCCACTTTGCCTGTCATTATATCATCCAGTTTGCTAGATGTGCAGGTAGAGCAGCTCCTACACGTACTACAGGAATGTAAGACTGCCATTGGTTGGACCATGGCAGACATAAAAGGTATAAGCCCGGCCTTCTGTATGCACAAGATTCTCTTGGAAGAAGGGCACAAACCTTCCAGAGAACATCAACGAAGGCTGAACCCGAATATGAAAGAGGTGGTGAAGAAGGAAGTGATCAAATGGTTAGATGCGGGAATCATCTTCCCCATCTCTGATAGCAATTGCGTCAGCCCTGTCCAATGTGTGCCGAAAAAGGGGGAATGACGGTTGTAAAAAATGAGAACAACGAGTTGATCTCGACTCGTACAGTCACGGGATGGCGTATTTGCATGGATTACCGAAAATTGAACACAGCCACATGGAAGGACCACTTCCCCCTGCCATTCATTGACCAAATGTTGGACAGGTTGGCCGGGCGATGACACTTTTATTTCTGAATGGATATTCGGGGTACAATCAGATCTCAATAGCTCCCAAAGACAGAGAGTAAACATCCTTCACTTGTCCGTATGGAATCTTCGCCCTTCAGAGAATGCCTTTTGGGCTTTGCAATGCACCGGCGACATTTTAACGGTGCATGTTAGCCAATTTCACAAACATGGTAGAGGACATTATGGAGGTTTTTATGGATGATTTCTCCGTGGTTGGGGATTCATTCGAGGATTGTCTTTACAACTTAAAAAGAGTGCTCAAAAGATGTGTGGAGACAAATTTAGTGTTGAACTTGGAGAAGTGCCATTTTATGGTACAAGAAGGGATAGTCCTGGGACATCGAGTGTCCAGTAAGGTAATTGAGGTTGACCATGCTAAGGTTGATGTGATTGAAAAGTTGCCACCGCCTACTTCAGTCGAGGAGGTGAGAAGTTTCCTTGGGCACGCCGGGTTCTACAGGCAATTCATAAAAGATTTCTCTAAAATTGCTAACCCGTTGTGTAAACTCCTTGAAAAGGATCACCCCTTTGTGTTTTCTAATGATTGCAGGTTGGCATTTGAGGAGTTGAAGAGGATATTGGTGACTGCACCCAACTGGGAACAACCGTTTGAGCTCATGTGTGATGCAGTAATTATGCTATAGGAGCAGTCTTGGGGCAACAAAAAGATAAACTGATGCACCTGATTTACTATGCAAGCAGAACGCTGAGTGGTGCACAACTCAATTACACCGTGATGGAAAAGGAGATGTTGGCTGTCGTTTTTGCATTCGAATAATTCACGTCATACTTGATTGGCTCAAAAGTTATTATTTACATTGACCATGAAGCAAATAGGTACCTGATAGTAAAGAAGGAGTTAAAGCCATGCTTGATTCGCTGGGTTCTCTTGTTACAAGAATTCAATCTAGAGATACGTGATAGAAAAGGGACAGAAAACCAAGTGGCTGACCACCTCTCAAGGTTGGATGCAGCTGAAAAGAAGGTAGAGGTTGAGGATATAACAGAGACATTCTCGGATGAACAGTTACTAGTAATGACAATGGAGGAAGCACCATGGTATGCTGACATTGCTAATTATTTAGCAAGTGGTATTGTGCCTCATGAACTCTCCTCTATTCAAAAGAAAACGTTCTTTCGTGATTGTCGGTCTTATTATTGGGATGAACCTCTATTATTTAAAATCTGTATAGATAACATGATCCGGCGGTGTATCCCTGAGAAAAATAAAAATTCTGTTTTGCAGGCTTGCCATGCTCACCATATGGTGGGCACTTTGGAGAAATTCGGACAGTAGCTAAGGTGTTGGAGTCGGGCTTGTATTGGCCAACTCTATTCAAGGATGCCCATGTATGGGTCAAAAGTTGAGATGAATGCCAAATTACAGGCAACATATCTCGCAGACATGAGATGCTAATGACCACAATTCAAGAGGTGGAGGTTTTTGACAAGTGGGGGATCAATTTCATGGGGCCATTTGTCAGCTCGTATGGTAACAAGTACATATTGGTAGCAGTTGACTACGTCTCCAAGTGGGTCGAAGCAGTGGCTCTCCCGACCAATGATGCTAAAGGGGTAACAGGCTTTCTGAAAAAGAACATTTTCACACGATTTGCCACCCCAAGAGCTATACTCAGTGATGGCGGTACCCATTTCTGTAATAGAGCGTTCGCACGGCTGCTGGAAAAGTATGGAGTTCGCCATAAGGTGACCACCCCCATATCATTCACATTCAAGAGGGCAAGTTGAAGTGTCCAACAGGGAAATTAAAAGTGTCCTTATAAAAACAGTAAATGCAACAAGGACTGATTGAGCAAGGAAGTTGGATGATGCATTGTGGGCGTACCACACAGCCTTCAAAACACCAATTGGTATGTCACCGTACAAGTTGGTGTTTGGAAAGGCATGTCACCTGCCAGTAAAGCTTGAGCACAAAGCACTTTGGGCATTGAGGCAGTTGAACTTGGACATGGAGACAACAGGAACTAATAGAGTCACTAGGTTACATGAGCTAGAGGAATTCAGGTTCCAGGCATTCGAGAGTGCTAGATTATACAAAGAACGGATGAAGCTGATGCATGACAAGCACATCGTGGACCGAAACTTCAAATCCGGAGAGCTAGTGTTGTTATACAACTCCAGATTGAGATTGTTTCCAGGTAAGTTGAAGTCCCGATGGTCAGGACCCTTCAGAGTGGTGCAAATGTTCCCAAGTGGAGCTGTTGAGATTGAATCAGAGGATGGGACGAATAAGTTCACAGTGAATGGTCAGAGGTTGAAACACTACCTTGGAATGGCAGATGAGAAAGGGGACAGAGAGTCAATAATGTTGGAAGAGCCCCAGTACGTGAAGGAGGAGTGATGCTCCGAGCCTGCGTCATGCCGCAACGTTAAATCAGGCATTGTGTGGGAGGCAACCGATGATTGTTGTGTTTCATTCGTGTATGTAATCATGATTATTATTAAAAAAACAAAAAAAAAACTAGGCAGGACCGCGGCGAGAGGCGAGTAATCTGCCTCAAAGTTGTCCAACCCACCACGACCGCTATGGGTACCAAGTAAGTTTTTTTTATTTTTTCTTTCTTTTTCTTCTTCTTTTATTTTATATTTCTAACCCCTAATATCAATAACCTCACCTGCCCAAGCCCCTCAATTCCCCCATCTTCTCTCTCTCTCTAAACCCTAACTCCCAAATCCCTCCTCTCTTCTTCTTCTTCTTCTTCACTCATCTCACTTCCCCCATCCCCATTCCTCTCTTTCTCTCTTCCATCAAGGTATGTTTCTTCTCCCTTACCTCATCTTTTGTATTTTATTTTAGTTTTTATGTAGCTTAATATTGTAATGGTGTAGTATTTCTAGTAGATTTCTCTTTGTTCTTTTTCTTTTGAATTTTGTCTTGGTGGGTGCTTGTTAAGGAATTATGTGTATAATGTGGTGGAGAGATATATGTTGTGGGTGTTGAACTAATTGTTGTAAGGTGTAATGGTGTAGTACCACTTGTTATTTGGGGGTAGCATGGTTGTATCCATAGGGCTATATATGTGTGAAAGTTGTCTTGCCCACAAGGTGTTTGTGAATTTGCCCCAATGGAGTTATAAGGGCTAATGTGACATGGTTGTAGTGAAGTTTGAGTAACCACCCATAGTTCACACATCTCACACCCTCACTAATAGGCATTTCTCCGTTTGACATGTACAATGACTCCATCTAGGAAGAGACACAACACCGGGTCCTCTGCTAGTGGACCGGGAAGCTCCTCGAGAGCTAGGAGTCAAGCCAATGCGCCACAGTTTGACAACACTAGGTCTGTCTCCAAACTGGCAGAGGACAGGTACAATGCAAAGGCGGCTAAGAAATTGTTACATGAGGTGCATATTGACCGAGAAGCCTTAGAGGTGGAATATTCGAATATCTTCAAAGAGTTAAGAAGGTGTCAGCTGGACATCTTCTTTGAGGAACTGGAGGAGGCCAATGTTCAGATGGTAAGGAAGTTCTATGCTAACTGGCCGGAACATGAGAATGGCGTTGTTACTATACGCAATACCTAGGTAAATGCGTCCTTCGAGGCCATCTGCAGGGTGTATCGGTTGCCAGTTTTCAGGGGGGAAGTTGATGTTTATCGTAGTTATAGCCGAACAAGTGCCTTGTTGGCAACTATTCTTGAGACTATTTGTATGTCAGACATAGAATACATATGGATTAAGCACCGTATCACACTTAAATGGGGTCTCTCAATTAATATGCTAAGTATTGGCTCACCATTATCAACAATCGGCTGTTGCCATCCAGCAATACGACCGATGTCAATCTACCACGAGCGGCTGCAATCTACTGTTTCATGACCCATAGGTATTTTGGTGTGGCCCAGCTCCTACATGACGAAATGTTCATTAGATCACCTGAATTACTCAAAGGCTTTTACTTCCCTTCTCTAGTCACCAGGCTGTGCCGTATTGATAGAGTCCCTGAAGACCTTAGAGTTGATGGGAAATTGCCACTGAAAACCCCGTTCCTGGCAAGAAAAATCAGAATTGGGATAGAGCCGGTGGTGAATGTTGATGACTCAGATGATGAATCTGATGATGATGATGATGATGCTGAGGCAACTATGGTCCCACCACCTATGAGAGTTGAAGAGGCGGGCCCATCACAGCCCCGTTGAAGTACCCGCCTGATAGCCCTGATGCAGGACATGGCTGGTCTCCGCACTTCTGTCACAGACTTGGGCACCAGAATTGACACTCTGACCACTCAACAGGCCAAGCCGGAGAAGAAGATTATAGGATGGCTTCGAGCGCTAGGACGATCATGTCACCTCGATCCTGGCACTGTCTCTGATCAGGATTGATCTTCACGGAAGTCCCTCTTCCTTACTCTGCTCTTTAGTTG